AGGCGGTGCGGGACAGGCGGTGTGGGACAGGCGCACGTAGGCTTAGGCAGCCGCTGAGGAAACTGTGAGTAAGGAGGCTCCTGCCTGCGGCGGAGTTGCTGTTGCTTTGGCGTCACCCGGCGCAGGTGTTCTTCTGTCTGACCTCTGGCTCTTGGCATAGGAACTAGAGAAGTCAGAGTTTGCTAGTTGGGCAAATAATGGCTTTGCTTCTGTGATTTCAGTGCAGTTCTTGTAAACTGTGTAAAACTCTGAACCACCTCAAAAACTTCCAGTTTTCCATGTAGAATAAACTAGCTCAGCATAGATCTTAGGATAAGAGTGTGTCATTGAACTGGTGGCTTTTTACTGAAAGGAATTGGAAAGGAAAGGAATTGGTGCCTTTTCTCCCCTGGGATGAATTCTGCAAAGGGGTGATTCAGTGACAGTTTCATTTGAAATTTGGTCTATGCACAGGATAGTTTGCTAAAGATGTATAAATTTCTCTCCACTGGAAAACCAGCATGCAGTTTTCTTTCTGTCACTAAATGCTTTCAGCAAAGTGTTGCATATTGCTCAAGGTGGACTTAAATTGGCCTCTTAAGGAATGGTTGGAATGGCACTACGAAACGTTCTAAGCAGTAGAAATCCCCATGAGATTATTGAATTTGAATGTTTACCTGTCTTGACTGAAATAATACGTAAGTTACATCTGCTTTAAGCAACTGTGTGATTTTAGTTTTCACTTGTTACTTGTTTAGGCATTCCATTGTTTGTTTGTTCATTTTTCAGATAACACCGTGATACGAGACTTATTAATTGCAATATATTTTCTGGAATGAAGTGAACAAGCAACATTGAAAAGGTGTAATTATTTATAAGTAATGACAGTTCATTTATCTTTAGACGCATATTTGTTCTTTGTCCTTAACCCAAAAAGTCTTTGGTGGAAGCAAAGAAGCAAATACTTGTGTTTGTATACACCTAAAGTCTGCTGGAGGATAAATCATGCTGGTCATCTGAGAGTTTTTCATACAGGAGAGCCTCGATGTAAATGGGCCAGAAGCAGAACATTTTGGTATAACAAATATGTTTACAGCTATGACTTTTTATACTACAGAGTTTCTAAACTTTTGACTTCTTCTTCCAAGGGACTTACAAAAGTGAACAATCGCATGTCACGAATAAAGAGTACTATAGAATCTGTTTCAAAGGCGGTGTCTGGAACTCACAGTGAATTGGTTTCACGAATAGCTCGATTGAAGTCACACTCGGGTACTCCGGGAAAAGCAAATAAGAGCAGTGCAGATGCAAATAACATCAATGCAAATCTAGAAAATGTTGAACAAGTTACAGATGCCAGACGTCAGGAGGATTGCAACAGAGGCCCAGTTACAAAGAAATTCACTTGTGCAAATGAAAAGTCAGAGGCTATGTTGGTAAGGTCAAGTGGTGCTAATCAAGATACTCCAGAAGATTCAGCATTTACTAAAAACCACCTTTTTCATGTAAGCTGCTTTTCTACGAATTTTGGAGAGACTTACAACTTCGTAGCTGATCACATCAACTGGTACTTTAATAATCATTTTCTTATGGATAAGGGGAAAAAAAACAGTGCTGTATTACAGGACTCTAAAAGTGAAAAGAGGAATAAACCTGGTTCATCAGAAAATACTGTAATGAGTGAAGAAAAGATAGCGGATTCAGCAGCTACGTTGGCATCTGAAGCAGAGACTCTGGGTGCTGAAAAGTCAAAGACTGCTCTTCCAGTTTCCACTAAAAAAAGTATTGCAAACTTCCTTTCATATCCCAGTAACAGTGTACAAGCTTTTGTAGACAGTTACATTGGTGGGTTGGTTCCCAAGTTAAGATCTGATTCAAAAGTAGCTTCCCAAGAAAAGAGTAAACAGCCAGAACAAGAAGTGTCTGAGAAAGATGAGGAGGATAAAGCAAAAGAGGCTAAGACTGCTGAAGAGAGAGAAAAACATCTGTCTCTTCAGAGAGAAAAGGCAAGTCTTTCTTTAGTGTTACTTTTTTTATATTATTTTGAGGTATATGTGTACTTTATACAAGTGGACATATAAACTATACACGCATGTATAAACCTATATATGTCCAGAAATAAGTATATACCTGTGTATGTACTTGCATATAAGTACATATATACGTACACATGCATTTATTTAGAAGTGTGTTTACATATAAGTACACATGTACTTTAATAAATGTATATGTATACATGTATATAAAAGTAAACATACACATTCTATATATGTAAACTCACATATATAGAAGTACTTACAATAAATACATATTATATATATTCTTGTACGTATACATATATGACATGCATATACTTCTCTTAAAGCATATATATAAATTCCAACATAAAATCTACATATATGCACAAACTTATATGTATCGTATGTACATATATTTAGTTTATATATATGTAGGGAGTATATAAATATAGATATAGTTGACTTTATTTTTTGAAGTTACAAGGATCTTATACTGTGTTGTGCTCCAAATACTGTGATTTCAGAGTTGCTCTGCAAAAACTACAAGTAAACACTGACATGTTTGTTTGGGGTATTTTTGCTGTGATCTGGCTTTATTTATTTTTCTAGTAAATGAATAAAAACTTTGGTCTCTTTACATTCAAGTAATGCTTACTTAGAGCCTGTAGCATATCTCCAGAACAACATGCTGTCCATTCCTTCTGAGAAATCTTAAAATAACAGTTTGAAACTAGTCTTGAAAACCTTGAACATTCTTAGAGTATTTTTGTGTTATTTGTGTAACTTCATCTTTTTTTAGATTATTGCAAGAGTGAGTATTGATAACAGAACTCGAGCTTTAGTTCAAGCCCTACGGAGATCCTCTAATCAAAGAGTCTGTATCAACCGGGTTGAAGAGCTGACCTATCATCTTCTAGAATTTCCGGAGAGCAGAGGAGTTGCAATTAAGGTGCAAATAATCTTTATGCCTAGACAAAAATCAATATCTGACAGACAAATTACATAGAATAACATAAAACTTTCTTCTTTGCTTTTGTGGGCTGGTCACATTTTCTATTTGTAAGGATTTACAGTTGTAAAGATTACAGTTATTTTTTTGGCTGGTTCAGATTCATATGTAAACTATTAGAAGTTTAGCTTAGGGCTCTTAAGACTGCAATGTTTAATTTAGAAGCACACAGCATTGTCATGTGATAGATAGTATAGGTTATTCTAGTGGTAGGCAGAGGTCATACACTGTGTTCTCTGTCACAGTTGACCAGATGGGAACGTACAGTACAGTTTATCTGCAAATGCACAACAGTTTTTGTGCTTGTTTACATGATTCCTTCGAAGAGAGATGACAAGAGTGGAGTATAACCATCAAATAAGTTCATGTAATCTAGTCCTGCACTGAAAAGACAGGAGGTGGGTCATAAACTAATCTAGTAGTACTAGCCAAATCACAGCATTCATCAGTCCTGTGCCTTTTTCCACAAGTTGTGACACATGTGTGACATAGATTGTACAACTGCTGGAAAAGATATCTTTGGGAATGGAGTGCAGGCCAGATGAATCATCTAGGCAGAGTATGGGTCAGGCACCCACGTGAATAGATGTTGTGAATTACTTTATTATGAAAGAGTACAAGCACTACTCCCATTTTGATTATAATACTCTCTATCTTTGTGATAATAATTGTAAATTTAAGAATTGCTCAGAGTAAGGAAGAATTTTTGTTGTTGTTTTTATATCAGTGTACTTGGCATTTCCTGTTTTGAGGCAATGATACCTATTCAGCAATATCTGGGCTTTTAGCTGTACTAAAGGATGTGTGCTCCACTTTGGCCAGTGACATAATGTCAATAAAACTACACTTCTGATAAATACAGTTTTTCTAGCTATTCAAAAGCTTTACATTTGACCTTGATTTTTTTAATTCTTATAGGTAGTTGCTCTAGCAATGAGGGGTGTAGTACATAACAGTGGAGTCCTTCCTTTTCCTTGCTAGAAAGAAAGATGGGTAAATACCAATATAAATAAGTTTTCATCTGAGTTTAAGGTATCACTTTTATACTTAAATGCCAAACTAGTAAGCATAAGTCTAGATTATTTTGGTATAAGCATATAGTTAGAATGAAATTTTTTTGTATTTATCAATAGGAAAAATTAATCCCCTGCCTACTGCGACTGAGACAGGCAAATGACGAAAGTCTTCAGGCTGCTGTTAGAGAGACTTTAGCTATAATTGGATATACAGACCCTGTCAAAGGCCGGGGAATTCGAGTCCTCACTATTGATGGAGGAGGAACAAGGTAAAACAACTGTTTTTTTTTATATACTTGTAGCCTTCTTCATACTGCAACTGGAAGTATGATTTTGGTTTTTCTTTGATAAGTTTGTGCCCAAGGATGCAAGTTATAATTTACAGTTATGTTACTTTTGACTATCCAAGTGGTAGGTATTATTTTTGTGTGCATTTGTGTTTAAGTTTCTGTGCATTAGTAGTCCCATGACACTGAAATTTCCCACATAAAGTTGTCTACACACTTAAGTGCTTGAATGGGCTCTTTCTCCTTTTGGAAGTACAATTCATGGTTATTAGTCTGCTCACAAGTCAAATCTCAGAAATAGAAAATTGGTGTGAAATGCTAGAAGTAGTTTATACTCTTATGATTGTGTTGACTTAGTAATTAAAAAAAATGTTCTTTTGCTTTTCTGGAGGGCAACCTGCCTTAGCAGGACTGATCCCATATGAAAGAGTCAATAGGCTAGTGATGAAAGCTGTTCTAGTTGTGCTGTTGATTTATATTTCTCCTACAACTAGTGTGCTTTTTTTTCTCTTTAATTTATGCACCACATGCCCTTACTTCTGTGGATTCTCATTCTGCATGAATTTATGCACCTACCATCATTTGTAAAGAGTACTAGCAGAAACATGTTCCTTAAATTTTAAGTCTTGATGATTACTAAAAACTATGTTTTCAGGCATATTTGAAGAAAACTTGCTGGCAAATATTTACTGATTCACAAATCATTATTGGGAGAAAGTGGAATATTAAGTCATTGCAGAAATAGTTTCATGAACTTTTTGTTTCCCCATAGTATTTCTTAACTTGCATCAAAATCAGTTTTCTTCAGTAAGGAGTAAGTGTATGTCCCAACTTTTACATCTGTGTTTCCAAAAGCTCCTGGTAAATCATAATGATTTTACCAAGTAGAAAGAAGGATGCTTCAAAGATAATCACATGATGCCTGCATGTATAAATAATCTGTTAATTTTCTGTGACATTTCTGATGTTACAAGATGTCTTATATTTCGAAAGCAGCATATACATGTATAACACTAAATGAGTTCAGAGAGTGAGCAAACTCCTGGCTTTTGTGCCACTTAACTTGTGGTGTTTATCTGGTTATAGTTTTGGACAGGGTTCACTGCTGGTCTTCTGCACAGCCAGGACAGATCTGGGGGCAAGACGCAGGAGTTGCTCTTTTTATCAGATTGTATTGGCAAGATGGTACTCAACTGGGTGCTCTTTTTACCATATGCAGTTCTCTGCTCCATCCCAGCAGTTGGCACCTCTAGATGCCTCTTTCAGGCTCTAGAAGGATAAGTCTGATGGTCTGCAGTGCATTTCTCCCATTACTTCAGGTACAATTAATTGAGGCAAAAACCTTCATAGAGCAAATACTGTGTCTTAAGGGGCATTGTGTAGCCTGGTTAAGACCAATCTTTAAGTGCCATGTAGTGTGGATGCAGCTGAAATCTATGCTGAGTCTACATCTAGAATCATCTAGGTCATCCAGAAGATGCCTTTGATACAAGACGCTATGGCTGTAGCTGTTGAGTGCTGTTTTTAGTATGCCTGAGTATGTAATTTATATTTAGTATTCATAATTCCATTTTAACTGTGTTCTGCTATTCTTTCATTCCCTGAAATATTCAGGATTCTTCCTTTTGTAGTTACTCAGTTATGATTAGCTATAATTAAGCAAATGCCAGCTTAATTAGAGCTAGATAAGATAAAACTGACATTGTATGTGAAGGGGTTTTTTTGTGTTGCAGGGGTTTAGTCGCACTTCAGACTCTACGGAAACTAGAAGAACTAACTGGAAAGCGAGTTTATCAACTTTTCGACTACATTTGTGGCGTCAGCACAGGTAATTAAGACACACATTGGAGTTTTGCTATTGGTATAGTAAAAGAACATCTGAGAAATGTAGATTTTGCACAACTTGATGGTTTCTGACTTCGAGTGTAAGTTGGGAAAGGCATGATTTAAAAAAAAAAATTTCTTAGCAATGCTTTGTCTGTTTTTTCAATGAATGTGAAACCTTCATTTTGCACATAGATACAATATCTTATATGTTTATGGGGCTTTACAGACAGGTAAAGGTTATATCCCTCAGGGGGTGATACTGGCCTAATAGTATTTCCTGTCTTCATTATTGACCTGCACAGCAGGACAGAATGTGCCGGCAGCAAGATCTTGGATGATACTAAATTGACTTGTATGCACAAGAACATACCTGACAGATTAAGGGTGTCTGTTTTGCCACTGTATGTCAAATTCTGGGCTCCTCAGTAGACCCTTAATCTGTTGGGTACATTTGTGTATATACTGGATGAGTATGGCAGAGTGTCAAGTCAGGGAACTGGAGGCCATGACATTTGGGAAGAGAGCACAAGAGCTGGCTTTACTCAGCCTTTAGAAGAGAGAAGGATAAGGGAAGGCCTGATTGCTACTTCAACAAATGGAAAATTACAGATGGAACTAAACTCTTGAAGGTGGACAGTGATAGGAGAAAAGTGTCTGTGACTAGTGGAGTCCCTCAGGGGTCAGTACTGGGACCGGTGTTGTTCAACATCTTCATCAATGACCTGGATGAGGGTATAGAATGTACCCTCATCAAGTTTGCTGATGACACTAAGCTGGGAGGAGTGGCTGACACCAGAAGGCTGTGCTGCCTTTCAGAGAGACTTAGACAGGCTGGAGAGTTGGGCGGGGAGAAACATGATAAAGTTCAACAAGGGGAAGTGTAGAGTTTTGCATTTGGGGAAGAGAAACAGAATGCACCAGTACAGGTTGGGGGCTGACCTGCTGGAGAGCAGTGTAGGTGAAAGGGACCTGGGGGTCCTGGTAGACAGGAGGATGACCATGAGCCAGCAATGTGCCCTTGTGGCCAAGAAGGCCAATGCCATCCTGGGGTGCATTAGAAAGGGTGTGGTTAGTTGGTCAAGAGAGGTTCTCCTTCCCCTCTATTCTGCATTGGTGAGGCCGCATCTGGAGTATTGTGTCCGGTTCTGGGCCCCTCATTTCTAGAAGGACAGGGAACTGCTTGAAAGAGTCCAGCACAGAGCTACAAAGATGATGAAGGGAGTGGAACATCTCCCTTATGAGGAAAGGCTGAGGCAGCTGGGTCTCTTTAGCTTGGAGAAAAGGAGACTGAGGGGTGACCTCATCAATGTTTATAAATATGTAAGGGGTGAGTGTCAGGAAGATGGAGTTAGGCTTTTCTCAGTGATGACCAGTGATAGGACAAGAGGTAATGGATGCAAATTGGAGCATAGGAGGTTCAAGGTGAATATCCGAAAAAAAAATTTTACTGTGAGAGTGACAGAGCCCTGGAACAGGCTGCCCAGGGAGGTTGTGGAGTCTCCTTCACTGGAGACATTCAAAACCCACCTGGATGCATTCCTGTGTGATGTGCTCTAGGTGACCCTGCTCTGGCAGGGGGGGTGGACTAGATGATCTTTCGAGGTCCCTTCCAACCCCTAGGATTCTATGATTTGATGAAAAGCCAACAGACATGTTGGAATATGGGAAGTTACAATTTGATATAATGAGTCACCTTTTCCTTGCAAGGATGATCAGACACTGGATGGAGTTGCTGATGCTATGGAATCTCCCTCCCTGGAGATACTCAAAACTGGACAAATCCTGAGTAACCTTTTCTAATTGAACCTGTTTGAACAGGAGGTTGGGCTAGATGGCCTCTAGAGGTCCTTCCCAGCCTTAATTGCTCTGTGACTCAGTGATAAGTTATACACCTTCCTAGGAAGAAGGAAACTCTAGAGCATAAGTTTCTTCTTAAAACACAGTATTCTATTTTAGAAATTAACCTAGACCAGTAGCAGCATAATGCTGATTTCTAAGAAAAGAGATACGTTGTAGTTCAATAGCTCAGCTTCTTTTAGAAACCCAAATTTCTCAGGTTTTTTGCCCTATACTTCCATATAGTTTAATTCAGAAGCAACAGTAAATGCAGATCACCATTATTAAATATAGTTTGTGTTTCCAGAGATCCCTGCTTTACATTTTTAATAGTATTTGAAAAAAACTCCACACTTTTAATGTAGCTGTCAGTGGTTGTTACTTTGGAAATAACAAAACAATTCCCTAATGTTTCCCTCAGTCATGATGATGTTTTGTCTTGGGTAAAGAGGCCTGGTGTTCTTAATTTGATCCCACTGCTATGATTAGAACTAGCTTTATCTTAATTCTTCGCCAGATTTTGGGGTTTGCTACTGCTAGTAAGCAGTTAACATGTCCTTTTAGGCTTCGTTTACACTGTAGTTTTCATCTGCAATAGTTGAGCTTGCAGTAGGTGACAAGACATGACTGGAAGGGGTTGTAGTGTCACCATGTGTGAACAGTGTACTTGACTGTTTCAGTTTGTGTTGATGGTACATATGCTGGTAGGATTTGCTTGCAGCTGGATGAATTGTGGTTTACAAGAGTGATGTATTAAATGATAGGAATGATGCCTGTTGTGCATTACAGTTCTCTTTTTCTACTGTGCTTTTCATATATTTTAATATAATTTAGCTGGTTTGCCTTTGAGGTTTAGAAATACAAGTTTGCTATGAATTCAGTATGACAGTCTGTCTTTGTAGTTAGCTTCCCTGTACCTCACTAGTGGTCATAGAGTGTACATACAGGCAGTTGCAGATAAAGATCACAGGAATGATGCTGCAATGGACCCTGCATACTTAGTTCACCTGCTGATTGCTGAGTGCAATATCTGGGCATGGAAGCACCAGAAAATCTGCAAGCTAATGCAACACAGTGATGGCCACTGAACTTTTAAATTGAGAAATGAAAGTAATGCAAATTCTGCACCGAGTCTGTTCCTGTTCTATGCAAAAATCCAAACATGAAAATAAGGCATCAGGGGGAAGAAAGTGCCATTGCCCCATGAACTGAGCTGCTGAGAATTCTGTACTTGAGGTTGATTATCCCTGTTCTCAAAGTTATGACATGCTTATATTGATGCTCAGAGCAATTTACCCATTGAGGAAAACTTATATGTAGGTATACTGTGGAAGTGGCTTGTGTGTTCTTTTCACTGCTCATGCAGTTTCCAAATTTATCAAAGATAGTTCTCAGTGGTGGTGCACTTAACAGTTCAGTCACAGAGAGCAGTTTGTAACAGTGAGTATGTGATCAGGCAAAGTGCATACAACCAGTTTGGAGTGCATTTCTCTAATGAAAGAGGTAGTTTTTCAAGGAGAATTCATTAATAAGTCAAGCCATGGCATTATAGAGTTGGAAATGTCCTTAGGATGTTGTCTCATTTCCCAAGGGAAGGATCAGCTTTCACTCTCAATATTTTTCTAAGATTTTTAATCATGTCAGACCTCTTCAGAAAATCTGTGCTAGTGTGCTGCTGTCTTTACATTGGGAAAAAAATCAAAATCCAATGGGGATCTTCCTGTTGCAGTTCAAATTTGTTTCCTCCTGTCCTGACTCCCTAGGAACATGAATAACAGATTATTTCTTTTTCACAGCAGCAGCCTTCTGTGCATTTGAAGGCTTTTGTCATAGACTGTTTAGTCAGGCTTTTCTTACAGACTGATTTCCTTGACATGTAATTTTTGGAGGATGGGACTTTTCTATGTGTTTTTTTCTTTTTTAATTTTTTTTCAGTTGGTCCACATCTTTTTTGAAGAATATTGTTCAGGTCCAGATACAGCATTTTAGCTAAAGTCTTACTAATACTGAATGAGGAAGGAATATGTTTGTCTTTCAGGTTGTATTTTGCCTCTCTTGTGTCTTACTAATCAACTGTGTCCCTGTGTTCAAGATATGCTCCTTAACCTCCCAGGTTTTATTGAGTGTTTTCTTTCCCCTTGAAATGTTGACCAGCAGGGCTAAGATAAGGGCTGGAGTATAGGACTCTGTGATACAAAAGAGGATAAGATGGAAGCATCAGAAACTTTTTCACTGGACCATCTGATAGAGCCTGCACTGTATCTTTCAGATTTTGACCTTACTGTCCTGTTACCATCCAGCAGGTTTCAGCAACGGCCTTTAATGTGTACCTTGACTGATATTATCTACTGCCACTTGTGTGCTGATGTGGACTATCATTATTGTTGCTATTTTTCAGGAGGTTATGTTAAAGTGAGTTTGCAGTTGGGATTAATTATATCTCTTTCAGCTTAAGAAATCTAAGAATTGTAGTAATGCATTAGTTCTATCTTTCCACAGTCTTTTAAATGGTATTCTGCAACTGTGCTTTTTGGGTACTGCTGTTTTGTTCCTACAAGGGTGGGTCATAATTGTTTTGAGGCACACACTAGGTAGCAGTATGTATGAGTGACTAATTATAAATGGTTGCAACCAAACTTATTCCAGACCAGTAAAACTCCCTTTTTTTTCTAGAATTTTCCTAGAATTTTTCTTTACAGGCTCAGAATTTTGCTTAGTTGTTCTTATTTCAAAATAAAATAGTGGATTTAATTTGCTTTCTGCTATATACATGTTTGCAGGGATGAAGTAACGCCATTTGTCAACTTCTCATAGTGCTGTTTTTTGAAAGCAGACTCTTTCTATCTTCTTTGTGTAGGTAATTTTAAAACATAGTGTGTCATCTTTGAACAGTAAGTTAGTGATATAAATGTCAATTGATTTTCCCTTTTCAAGATAGCAGAATATCTAATCTATAGGCTACATTAAGTGGTAATCCATCTTTATAATCTTACTCCAGGTTATATTTTACATTTAAAAATATTTCTTTTTCAGGAGCTATATTAGCTTTCATGTTGGGGTTGTTCCACATCCATCTGGATGATTGTGAAGAACTGTATCACAAGTTAGGATCAGATGTTTTTAAGCAGAATGTCATTGTTGGAACTGTCAAAATGGGTTGGAGCCATGCCTTTTATGACAGTGATATATGGGAAAAAATGCTCAAGTAAGTAAAAAATTATCAGGTAAAAATAATTATTATAATGTCTCAGGGCCTTTGATTTAATTATTGTTTCACTCATAAGAAAATTCTTAAAAATACTAGAAAGGATTAGTATGTACTCTCCTTCTTTTGAATATCTGCTTTCATCTTTACCAAAACATTGAAGGCCTTTAATAAATAATATCTGCTTCTGGGGAATAAAGTAAGCTTTAGTGCACTGTTTTCTGGTTATATTCCTGTCTGCTTGCCAGCTCTGATTGATGTGACTCATTATAGATGTGCTACAAATTTTACAAGCCACCTGCTGTGCCTTTTTTCTTATAGGAGTCATGTTGAGAGATACAATAATGTGCTGTAGTAGAGATTTTTAATCTTAGCTGCTGTATCATAGAACCATTAAGGTTGGAAAAGACCTTTGAGATCATTGAGTCCAACTGAAATCCAACTACCACAACCACTAAGTTATATCCTGAAGCACCACATCTAAACGCTTCTTGAACACCTCTGGGGCTGGCAACTCCACCACCTCCCTGGGTAGCCTGTCCCAATGCTTCACCACTCTTTCAGTAAATACATTTTTCCAAATATTCAACCTAAATCTCCCCTGGTACAACTTCAACCCAGTTCCTCTCATCCAGTTGCTAGTTACTTGGGAGAAGAGACCAACACTAGCCTCTCTACAGCCTCCCTTCAGGTAGTTGTAGAGAGCAGTAAGATCTCCCCTGAGCCTTCTCATTTCAGCCTAAATAACCCCAGTTCCCTCAGCTGCTCCTTGAATGACATGCCCTCCAAATCTCTCACCAGCCTCGTTGCTCTTCTCAGGATGCACTCCAGGACCTTGATGTCTTTCTTACACTGTGACACCCGGAACTGAACACAGTACTTAAGCTGTGGCCTCACCAGTGCCAAGGATAGGAGCACGATCACTTCCCTACTCCTGCTGGACGCACTGTTTTTGATAGAGGCCAGGATGCCGTTGGCCTTCTTGGCCACCCGGGCACACTACTAGCTCACGTTCAGCCAGCCATCCAACAGTACCCCCAGATCCTTTTCCACCGGGCTGCTTTTCAGCCACTCTTCCTCAAGCCTGTAGGGTTTGTTACTTGGGGTTATTGTGACAAAAGTGCAGGACCCAGCACTTTGTTTTGTTAAACCTCATCCTGTTGATTTAGACTATCGATCTAACCTGTCCAGGTCCCTCTGTAGAGCCTTCCTACCCTTGAGCAGATCAACACTTCTGCTCAGTTTAGTGTCATCTGCAAACTTGCTGAGTGTTCCCTCAATCCCCTCATCCAAATCATTGATAAAAACATTAAATAGAACTGTCCCTGACACCAAGCCCTGGGAGACACCACTGGTGACTGGCCACCAGCTGGATTTAACTCCATTTATCACCACTCTTTGGGCCTGGCCATCCAGACAGTTTTTAATCCACCAAAAAGTCCACCACACCAGTCTATCCCATGGGCTGCTAGTTTCTTAAGGAGAATACTGTGGGAGATGGTGTCAAAAGCCTTACTAAAGTCCAGGTAGACAACATCCATAGTCTTTCCTTCATCCACTAGGTGGGTCACCTGGTCATAGAAGGAGATCAAGTTGGTCAAGCAGGACCTGCCTTTCATGAATCCATGCTGGCTGGGCCTGATCTCACTGTTCTCCTGTACTTCCCATGTGAGCGCACCCAAGATGAACCACACCGTGATCTTTCCTGATACTGAGGTCAGGCTAACAGGCCTGTAGTTTCCTGGATCCTCCTTTTTGCTCTTTTTGTAGACGGGTGTCACATTAGCCGGCCTCTAGTCACCTGGGACCTCCCCTCTTAACCAGGACTGCTCTGATAGATGATAGAGAGTTGCTTGGCAAACTCCTCTGCCAGCTCCTGCGGCACTCTGGAGTGAATCCCATCTGGCCCTGTAGACTTGAGAGTGTCCAGGTGACATAACAGGTCATTAACTGCTTCCTCCTGGATCATAGGGAGTTGCTGCTGTTCTCCTTATCATCCTTATCAGGAGGTTAAATACCCTGGGGATAATGGGTCTGTCTATTAATGACCAAGGCCTTTTCCTTATCCTTGATAGCAGTGTTCCCCCCCTGCATCCAATAAAGGGTGGACATTCTCCTTCACTCTCTTTTTGTTGTTAATATATATTTGTAAAAACCTTTTTTGTAATCTCTTTCAGCAGTGGCCAGATCAAGTTCTAGCTGTGCTTTTGTCTTTCTGGTGTTTTTTCTGCTATATGGAGGAGTTATGCCTATTGGCTCTTCCTTTGAACAGGGAAGTGATCTGTAGGGATTGCAGTGAAAAACTACCCATTGTCTCAGAGTTGCCACTTAAATGGTATTTATTCATAGATACATATAGAAGTCCATTAGTGGCTATTCAGGAAAAGTCACTGGAAGGAATGATTCATTTTTCTTACAAGTTTTATTACTTAGTTTTATTTATTTCATTTGTATTGATAGTTATGTTGTTTATAATTTTTAGCAAAGTATGTCATAATTTCTGAAGCAGTGTAAGCTGACACTGCTGTTGAAAGAACTGAAACAATTTTCTCTGAGAGCAAATATAAATTGGTAAAAAACTTACTCGGATAAGTAATGACAAGTTCCTTTTGGAGCATGATTAATATGTTTTATGGGATTGAAAAAGTTTCTTCTAGATATTATAGCAGGAATTCCTGTGCTGCCTGAGTTTTAAGCTTCTCACTTCTTTGCTCAAGTGAAAAGAAAGGCTTGCAATCTCTTTTCCTTGCTCTTGCCTATTTTTAGGAATAAATGTGCTTATCAAATGAGTATAATGAGTTTTTCTTCTCAGAATCTGGACTGCCTCTTTGTTTAGAAAGGAGACTTTTCTCTACCTTCCCTCTTTTCCTCCCCTGCCGAACCATAAGAAATCTTGTGAAAATCGGAATTGCCTCATGTGAAAGTATTTTACATACCTTTAATTAAAATGCTGTTATTCTTCTCAACTACACATAACACATGAGGGAGGTAAAGTACTGTACTGCTGTGCAATGGACAGACACAAGGCAGTTATATTATCCATAGATTAAATTTACTGATCAACAAATTACTTCTTGTTGACCTAATTCTGCAATGGTGGAAAGAGATGTCTTGCTTACACGACATTTTATTGAAATGGCAGCGTTTCCTGCAGGCTTCCATGTGACATGGAAGCCTAGAGCTAAGGGAATTGAAAGGCTTAATAGCATCTCCTTATGGCAATATGAAGGTCAGGTCTAATTTTCGTTCATTGCATGGGAAAAATGCTTTATGTTTTGATTTAAATTTAAATGCCTTACTTGTGCTGAGTGAGTTTTTTGTTGCTTAAATGGTAGTAGGCTTGTCAGCCTTACTTGACAAAGTGAGTATCTGTTTACAGTATGTGGACATGCAATATACATTTAGCCCTACCACAATAATGGTGGAATTATTTTCTGTCAGAAAATATTCTTGCTGAAAATAATTAAGCTAATGTTCCGTTAGGTTAATGTTGCATGCATTCATGAGGCATATTCTAAATTCCATTTCAGAAAATGACAATTACTTTTAGTTAACTTTTTACTCTGAGTGGTGTAGGGACTTGATTTTATGTCTTACATACATGTTTATTTTAATTCTACTTACATAGTCCTTGAATTGCAATTTGAACACTGGTTTAAATCAGCTACTTTTATTACTATTATTTTATTCCACACTGTCTTGAGAAACTACGGGAGAAATCTGGTGAGCAGCTAGGGGTTTTCACAAGCTATCTAAAATCCCATCCTGGGAATTTGTAATCTTGAGAAGCAATCAAGAACTATATAGAGGGTAGGATAAAAGTAACATATTCTCTGTTCATAGAAAAATGGGTAATACAAATAATAATACTTCAAACCAGTATTTGTTATCCAAATGGAAGTATAAATTAAGACTTCTCTGTGGTGACTAGATTTTGTACTAGCATTTTGTACTAGCTAGTCACGTCAGACATACTGCCAGATTTTGCAGCCTAAGCACTGAGATGTTCTGTATCTTTATGGAACATGCAAGAAAATATTTTCTGTAGGTTTTGGTACAGATGTTATAGTTTCTGGTAGCTATATTGGTGTTGAAAGGAGGTTAAAGTATTATAATTTTTTCCTTTCAAATTGCATTTTCTTTCTCCAGACTATTTGATTGTATCTTGTCTGTAACCCTTTCGAATGTTTCTTTAACCATATGGTTGACATTGTATTCTTCATAGCATTATTAAAGTAAGTGTTGCAATATAAGTGACTCCAAGCAATGAAAAAGCAACATTTGTAAAGGATACTTGTTTAGGTTGGTCGTTTCTAGAGGACATGGGTCACAGACATAAGAAATGGGAAAATACAATGGCAGATGGCAGATGATGGAGAAGACGATGGCAGTGTAGTGTAATAACCAGTGAGTGAAGAAATGTAGAATGCTTACAGGATTTAAACAAACTTTAATATTAAAAGTAATTTGGATGCTGTTACAGACAGTTTAATGAAAAATCTTCATTCTTGTAGTCAAGCAAGATGATTCGGCATGTGACAGTTGGTATTGAAAACAGAAACTACTATAATGCCTTTAAATTAATCCGTAATACAATTTTATTTAAAATACTATCTACGGTCCCAGTTACCCCATTTTAGAGAACGCTTCTGTTGCATGATTGATAAAAAGTAGCCAGTGACCCAAAGACAACTCACACAAAGGGATTACTACTCTTTATCCTTAATAAAAAAAAACAAAGATGTTTAAGCTGTAATTTGAGATACTAAGATATCTTGAAAATAATTACTGTTCTCATCTTCAAGAATAAGGGACTGTTCAATAAAATTAAAATTAGACTTTCTTTTTTAACATCGTATGTGAATAAACTGTGCAATTAATTGTGTTTTGACTTCAGTAAAGAAAGTAATTGAAAAGTGAGGCTTGACAAAATCGCAGAATCACAAAATATTAGGAGTTGCAAGGGAGCTCTGAAGATCATTGAGTCTCAACCCCTTGCCAGAAAAGGACCAAAACCAAACTAAACCAAACCAACAGCTAGGGCAGATCACTCAGAAATGCATTCAGACAGGTCTTGAAAATCTCCAGAGACGGAGATTCCACAACCTCTCTGGAAAGCCTGTTCCAGTGCTCTGTAACCCTCACATTAAAGAAGTTCTTCCTGATGTTGAGGTGGTCCTTCCTATGCTTGAGTTTGAATCCATTGCCCCTTGTTCTGTTACAGAGCACAAATGAAATGAGGTTGTTCCTGCCTTCTTGATGCCCAGCCCTCATGCATTTTTACACATTAATTAGATCTCCCTTCAGTCTTCTCCTCTCTAGACTGAAAAGCCCCAGGTATATAATACACAATTACAGCATTAATGTAGCAACACAACTAAAATAAATTTGGAGATGATACTGAACTTTTATCTTTAGACCTTAATGTCTGAAATTGTATACTAGCTTAAGGGATTTCTCATACCTACTCTGAAGCATTACCTCCTGGTCATTATAAGAAAGAAGATGTGAGAAAACAGTTATTCAATATGGCAGTTCCTGTAATTATTCAGTTTTTTAATCTTTTCATTGAGTGTTTGGGGGCAAAAAAATCTACTATGGATATTTAGGAAGAAGTAAATGAAAGTGATGCCAATCAGTAGATGTCTTTCATCTCACCTCTGCCTATCTCATATTTTATTTCTGAATATTTGTACTTCATTATTCTGTGTGCCTTCAATTTCTCAAAAGTGCAGATAGCACTTCTCCGCTTCTGGCTGGTGACTGTGAAACTGGAGTTAATGCATTTATTGGAAAAGATAATAATAGTGCTATTGGTGTAAGGATTGTGTCAGCAGCAGTCTTCAATCAGAGGACTAGAAGCTGTCTACCTTCCTTCCCTCCTCTCCAGGACAGGCACACTACCACCTTGCAAACAGAGATATCCGCTGATAGAACGGTACATTGTGCTACTGTTTCCATTGAGGACTACTGCCATTGTAGCATTTAAAGCTACTTTTATCTTCTGACCTGACTAGATTGGTAAAGGTGTTGTTTTTAAGTCACTACTGTCACAGTAGTGTGAGCTATAGATGGATGATTTCTTAACAGCAACACATGGAATCACCTTATTTTAAAAGTGTGGCAGTATTGAAAACTGTTTTTGCAGAATCATGTAGATGCACCACCTGCATTGGTGTGGCATATATTCAAGGGAAGGGAGAAAACTTGTGGATTTAAGTGAAAGCCTGTTGGAAATCATTATGGATGAGCACTCACTCTGTAGAGTTTTATACCTTTACTGTAAGCAAATCAAAGTTGAAATAGGTGCTAATAAGAGATTATTGGCTAGTGTGCTGATATCCTCCAGATTCCTGCATTATGCAGGAGGGCTACCTTCTAGTTAGCTGTTAGAATACTAACCTTAATGTTGATGTGATGGTAAATTATAGTCCTGAGTGCTCGTGTGATTTCACTGCTGGAATTATAAAAATGTGTATGAAAAAATTCCACCTGAAGATTACATGTAGATATTATAACTTCCTCCTAAATGATGTAGAATTATGCCTTTCCTTAGCTTTTGTTTTCATAACAGTTTAGGAGAATAATTCTCATTACTATAAAACCACTTGATAAAGATGTTGATTTTCTGATTTTTAAATGTAGCAAAATACTTCACTTTTGTCTTACAAAGTAGTCCAGCAGTCCTGCTGGTTTATGGTTGAGTATGTGGTGAAGTGACTGAATCAAGACCTTAATCTTCAGATGTATTTCTCACAGCCTAGAAGATGTGAAATATTAGTCCAGTGAAGTCAACCATGGAAATCTGATTATTAAAGTGAAATCCAAGCACTGCTTCTTTTCAGTGCAAAGTTCTCAGAAGTAAGGGTGATAAAATGTGTGTTTTGTTCATGTTAAACTGATGGAGCATTTTCAATTTTTTACACTTATTTGTAGGGAGAAAATGGGCTCAAATCTACTCATTGAAACTGCAAGGAATTCCGAATGTCCAAAGGTAAGTACAGTTTTCTAAGGTAAATACTAACTGTGTATTCCACAAGTACTTTAAAGAGTTTTGAGTAAGAGTACTGTTCCTAGAAGAATATTGGATAAACAGCATGAGCACAGATATGCTCTCCAGGCTTCCATATGAGATAACCCATGCTTTTAAAGGATAAAAATTCACTAGATTCTTAAATTTCAGCATCAGTTTCTAATATTTTAATAATACTTGGAGTAATGTTACAGAGATGTTAAAAGGCTTATAAACAGAGAAATACTTAGGTCAGCTTCTTGATGTTGTGCGTAGTTTTTGGTTTTTTCCATATAAGAGAATTCCGGTTTCTGGAGCTCCTGTCATGTCACCTGTGATTTGTTACTGTATAGTGAGAGAACAGGGTTTCTTCTCATTTCATGTGCATTACCAGGTTTTCTGCAGTCACAGTCATAGGTCCTGAGATCTCTGTTCTTCCTGTATGATCTAAAGGGCACCAATTAATTGTAGGGGCGTTATATACAGCAGCAGCACAAGAGTGAAAGATGAGAAAGCGTGGGTATTTTATTTTTGGTGAAGGATAGGGTGTGAAGAAAGAAGAGAAATATAATAGCACTTATTTCAGAACAATCTGTAATTAACAGGTGTTTTGGTGTCATAGCACTATATTCAACACTTTACTGTTAAATGGAAGATATTCACATTTTTCTAAACATAGAAACATGTGCTTGACTGACTGCGTTCCTAGTCCCTGTCTAAAACAAGGACATGAAAAGGCTGGAGTGGTATGTTGCTTTCTGAGAGAGAAGCTATCCTACATTGACTTGAAAGTATCTTTGAACCGGGATCTTTGGCTTCCTTCCATGTTCTTCAGTAATAAAGTGTGAATATAAATAGAGTTGAAACTAGCTGTTCCCAGTAATCACTTTGTAGTGCTGGCAGTGGTGGCACTCTTTACAAGGTACAGCAAAATCAAAACAAAACACACAGTTGTGTCCTCTGCTGCTGTTTAATTCATGGCAAGAAGGGTTTTTCCAGTTGCTCAGCACTTCACAGCTTAGACTACATCATGAAGTGGAACTGTATATGGGTATTAGCAAAAATGCATTCAAGCATCAGTTTGCTAAGTTTTCTATTGAATTTTCCAAAGTTCTTACTGCTTCTAGCAGTGCTTAGAACCAAAGTTTCCTTTAGACAAGCCCAGGAAACTTTTCTTCCATTAAAGGATGGAGTACAAGTTATGCATGCATTTTTCTTCTGCCTTATTATTTGGAAGTTATACTTTTCTTGCTTTTTTTATAAGGAAGGACTTACTGTGAATTAAATTATTTAACTGATGTAGCTGAATAATTGAAATGAATACAGTGGTATCACAATGTTAGCTGCTAGTGCTGTTGAGCAGTGTTTCACAAAAACACTCTACTTTGTAAAATAGCAAACAAAATAGAATTGAACACCCACTTGACTCCTAAAGAGTCTTACTCTGAACATTGCCAGCAAGACTGGATGCATCATCCCTAAAAGGTCTTGCACATTCTAAAACTCACCCATAACTATAGGTACTCTCACCTGGTGTGGTGATAATCCGTAAGATGTAATTTTTCTGCAGTCATACATTTTATTTTATGGAAATACCATTTTGACTTTTCACTTATCTTTAGATACGACTTTTTGTTAATGACTTTTCAGTGTCCTTACAAAAAAAACTGAAAAATTTGTGTTTGATTCTTTTGTTTATTTCTTTGGGAGAGATTCTTCCTGCAGTCCTTTAATGTAAGTTGCAGTATTAAGTAATAATTTTCCTGGAGAAATAAATTAATTGACAGTTCTAGCATTCGTATTTAATGGCATTGTCACATTGCTGGTTACAGACTTTTGAGAATAAACTACTATTCATAAATGCAAAATATTTTAAAATTATGTAGATGACACCAGCTTTTTTGTTACGTATCAATGGATAGATATTGGTGGAAACAGAATAGCCAGTGGGAAGAAATAATTTCAGGTTAAAACCAGAATTTTCTTTAGGAGTTTAGTTCTTTCTTTGGATATTTTTTACTTTCCATTTTTTTAAATGGGCATTATAAAAAAAGTAAATAAATAGTGAATTCAGTAGAACTCAAGAATTGCATTTCATGTGTAAATTAAATTTCATGTTGTGGGAAGTTGTCATGGTCATATTCTTGTTGCTATTATCATCATATATAACTATTTTTGTTCCTCTTGACTCACTAGGTAGCTGCAGTAAGCACCATTGTAAACAGAGGAACACCACTGAAAGCATTTGTCTTCAGAAACTACAATCACTTCCCTGGTGTGAAGTCTCATTATATGGGAGGCTGTCAGTATAAACTGTGGCAGGCCATTAGAGCATCATCTGCTGCACCAGGCTACTTTCAGGAGTATGTTTTGGGCAACGATCTTCATCAGGTGAGCTGAAATCTCCTTTAGTAAATATTTTCCAATATTATACATGAGAAGAAAGTTGTCTGAATTTCTGAGTAAGAACTAAGCAAATACACTGGTAGCAGACACAAAATCTAGGACAGATGGAAGTAAGAAAGGAAATGTTTAGCTTTTATAGCCTTAATAGAAAAGGGCATAGACTTGCAAATCTTGGTCTTCACGATGCAAACTTAAGCTCTTCTCCTGTTCCTTCTCTGCCCAGAAGGAAACCTTATATGAGTTGTAAATTTCCTCTCAATAACTGCTTACAACTGGTATTTCATTGAGCATTATTTCACTAAACAGATGGTATGACTTTAAATCTAACAATACTGTAAAGTGTGAAAAAATGAAGCTACGCATTTCAGTATTTCTTTTATCAGTGCATAATTTCAGTTTATGGTCTACTTTTAATTCTTGCCGTTGGCAGCTTATTAAGGTCTACCCTGGTTCTGAGCTAGTAAAAAGAATAAGATGTCACAACAGCAAGATTAAACTCAGAGGACAACTGCAAAAAAAATTCTCTTGAGGATAAAGCAGTGTCTCCTCTCAACAGTGTATCCTATTTTACCGTATTACTGCTTCTGTTAGTAACCCTAATTGGTAAAAAGCAAGGCGAAGTAATTTCTTTCGTAGTTTTTTTAACCATTGTGTTCTTGTCTTCAAATGCCCCTTTTCTGTTCTGCAGTTCTCTGAGTTTTAAAAGAATCCTTTTTACAGCACATACTAATTTAAAGCTGTTAGTATGTTTTTTAAAAAAAGATCTGTTGCAGATCTGTAGCAGAAAAGACCACAAAGGATGACTGAACCCGAGACCCTCAGCAAAGATAGCATAGGATTCTATCACTTAGATTTAAAGGAAGCATCTATTAATATTTCCATCATAGTAATTCATATGATGGCATTAGCCTTAACTACTAAAAAGCAGTAATAGTGTGTTTTGAGTGATAAAAGGTACCAGAATTTATTATAGTGTCCATTAAAAGGATATGGAATCTCATTAGCATTGCAATATGCTTAAGTAATACTGAAGTTTAACAGATAAGTAATATAAAATAGTGAAAAATCCAGTAGATTAAGAGATAATAAACAGAACCATTGATACAGAGAAAAAGCTAGACATCTGTCTTAAAAAAAAATAAATCATACTTCTTTATTTTGAATGAACACTTATAAGGAGATGAAATAATTAAATTCAGCTATATGAAAGCTCTGCGTAAGTTTGAGAGCAAAGGGGAAGCATTCCCATGAAAGGCAGCGTGGTAATACTATATCAATCAGATTCTAATCCTTCCATTTTATTCTGTTACCGTCTTTTGTTTAGGGTCTTTTTTCTTTCCCTCTGTCTTTCCCTTCTACCCCCCAGCCTCTCCAATATAGTACATGTTGTTATCCCCAAAACACTCTAATCAAATACTACCTGAAATAATTAAGTTTTGGCATTTTTTTTAAGCTAAAAATGTAGTAACACATCAGATATTCCAATCTGAAGCACTGATTGAAATAATGAAATGTGGTCATCTTCCATATGGCCAAATAAAAATGGAAAGGGAACTGCTTTAGCCTTTGGAGTTGTTCCAAGCTGCTCCTTAACTGCTTGAATGGGTCAGTGTTAAGCTATGTGAAGCACTTTTCTTCCTCTTCTCACCTTTCCACCCA